TGCAGTTTACCATAAAGTGTTGTTATTGTAAGTACGAATTTGTTCCTGATAACTCATTTGGTTAAATAAAAGTTAAATAATTTTTTTTTTTTTAAATTTCATTTAATTTTAGAAACTGCAACTCAGAGGAGGAGCTCCTTCCAGGAAAAGTTTTTTCACAACAAAGATCGCTCAAAGGAACAAATTTCACTCCTTGGGACAAAGGTCTGAAATATCAAGTGGTGAGCAAATAATATTTTATTTGACAGAAAGGAACCAACACTTTTTGTCTGTAAATAACTGCAGGCTTCAGCTTTCACTCCAGCATTTACTCAGACTGAGATCTGGACTTTGACTGGGCCATTGCAACATCTTGATTTTATGTTTTTCAGTCATTTGCTTCCTTGTTTGGGATATTTCCTTTAAATGGATCCAGCATCTATAACAGTAGAATACTCCTGCATACTGAGGGGTTCATGGTAGTTTTACAGCAACATGATCCGGTCAATATTTGGCCAAACAAGCTCTTCTTAACCTTCGGCTATATCACGTTTACATGAACCAGAATATTATTTTTCTGTCCAAGGCAGCTGATTTTTCTTGTATTTGTGTATCGGTGAGTCAGGCCTCACACTAGTCAAACAAAAAGAGACACACAATTTGCTTTCTACATGGTTATGATATACTTTCATTTATTTTGTTTTATAGTTTGACGAAAAAGTATACTTAAACTAATTTCTTTTGTGGCAGACTTAATCCACAGAGACTCACCACTTAGATCCAGTTCAACAGCAGAAATCCAAAAAGGAAAAGAACAGCCTGGTCTTCTTTTACAAAGGAAAACAGTGATGGTTGGGTTGAAGCGACGTGGAAAACAGTTGGCTCAGGAGTGTCAGGTCAATGTTACCAACCTGTTATCTCCTCCTCCCACTGGGAAACCATAAGGAAGTGGAGAAATACACTGAGCTAATAAATAAGCCTGTTATAAAACATGACATCCAGAGTAAGCAGAAAGCAGAAACAAGATGTTTTTAAGGCCAACAATGTGAAAATACTCTTCTTAATTTGATGAGTACTATCACTAAAGGCATTCACATCAAATATGTTGGTCAATGTTTAATTTATTATAGTCCAAAAGCAAGTCTAAACAGGGGGGGTGTTAGTCTTGATTTAAAGCAACTCAAGAGTTTCAGCTGGGGTTTTTTTAAAGTTTGTTATCAAAACTTATGACCTCCAAGCATCTGCAAAACTATTTAATATCTGTTCGTAAGTTATTCGCTGTGAGGTCCAGAAAACAAACCGAACTCAAAGACTTGCAGATAATCGTGTATCTCTTGTGCACATTATGCTTTTTATAAAGTCAACACAAAATAATAATCATGAAAATAACATTAACATAATTTTTATGTCTTTATTGGGGTTTATTTTAAAATAGAAAAACATTTTAGTAAGAAAGTCTGCACAATAAACCCTTAAAATCAGTAGAAACAGAAAGGAGGCCGCTCCTTTACTGTTTTCCGGCTTTGGTTTTAGAAAAGACTCAATTACCCAGGTTGCATTGGGAGAGAAACAGGAAGCGCGAGATGACAGTCCAATCAGCTGACTTGACTGTGTCTTGCGCTCTGTTTGTGACTCTTTAAGGGTTTTTGTTTAGAATCTGCCGAGTATTTTTAATAAAACTGGTTTTATTAGGAGTTTAGGAGACTGAAATGTTGCGGCCGAAAGCTTTGACGCAGGTGCTGAGCCAGGCGAACACCAACGGCGTCCAGAGCACTCTGTGAGTACGGAGCTAGCATCAAGCTAACTGGCTTCACACGGGTTTGCAGCACAACCAGGGCGGTTTGTTTTTAACCTCTATGGCCTGTTTGTTTACTGTGGGACTAGATTATGGCCTTTCTCTTTGACGAAGGACTTTCGAAATCATAAGAAAATTATAAATCTGCAGCATCGTGTCTTTACTTTACAATGACATTCATGCTACAATTTGACTGTTAGATTATGAATAAGTCGAAGTACTGTAATTTAATACGTAGTTATTTAATATAATCACTTTATACCTATTGAATGTATGTTTTTTGTATTTTGTGTAAATGCATTCTTTGTTGCCAGTCATCAAGCGTTCATTAAATGAGTTTACTGCATTTTAGGCAACAAAGTATTATTTAGAAGAATGAATGTAACTAATATTTGCATTGTTTGAAATGTATCTTATAGTGTGTTAAATGAAAATCTACAGAATGTGCCAATTTGTATCCAGCTAACGGTCCGAGTAATTACTAAAATAATCACTATATCACAAATCTTGGCAACATGCACACTATTATATGTTAAAATAAATTATCACTTGTTTTTACCTCATAGAATGCAATTAAAACTTAAATGTCTCCGCTTTCCCACAGTTTACTCAACAACGAGGGTTCTCTTCTGGCTTACTCCGGTTATGGAGACACCGACGCCCGCGTCACGGCGGCCATCGCCAGCAACATCTGGGCCGCCTACGACAAGAACGGCCATCAAGCCTTTAATGAAGACAAGCTGAAATTCATCCTCATGGACTGCATGGTGAGAAACACAACTGGGATGTGAAGGGAAAAAGTGAGGATGATAGATTTAAGCTGTTTTTTTCTGTGTCCGTGTGCCTCAGGAAGGAAGGGTGGCCATCACGCGTGTCGCCAACCTGCTGCTGTGTATGTACGCCAAGGAGACGGTGGGCTTCGGGATGCTTAAAGCCAAGGTAAGACTGCACATATTCAGGATGAAGCAAAAGTTCATCCTGAAGCAGAATTAGTTTTAGAAACTATAAGTAATTCTGCATTTCCTTTAAAAATGAACTACAATGTGTTAAGTTTTCTCAAGTTTACATGTATCCTGATCACCTGGATATTTTACTCGTTTTTATATTGGGGTCAATTCTCAGAAAATGATCACTTATGCTCATATTACTTTGACTTTATTCTGGTAATATTAAACTTTATTCTATTCTTGTATTGCATTCTTATTCTCTTATTACCACTTAAATCTCATATTTTTACAAATTAATTCTCTATTTAATAGGAATTTAATCAGGTACTATTATCACTTTATTCTTATATTCTACTAATATTACAACTATGTTCTCATAAATTTAATATTATTTTCATATTGCCACTTTATTCTAGTAATATTGTAAGTATATATTTTCCGCTTATTCTTAGCCTGACCCTAATCCAGGAAGTTGGAAGTGATCAATGTTACATTTATAGACGTGTCAGTAAATGTTAAGAGTTATTATTCTGTTAAATGAATTTTATGAGCGACTTCTTGTAGAGATTACTCGTGTTTTCCAGCCTGACAGTCTGCAGGTTTGCTGCCCAGCTGGAGTCAGAGCCTGTTAACTGCAGTGTGTGTGTGTGTGTGTGTGTGTGTGTGTGTGTGTGTGTGTGTGTGTGTGTGTGTGTGTGTGTGTGTGTGTGTGTGTGTGTGTGTGTGTGTTTACAGGCAGAGGCGTTGGTGCAGTATCTGGAGGAACCATTAACCCAGGTGGCAGCATCGTAGTTTTGTTGCGTCTCACCTTTCCTTTTCTTCCTGGAGTCTGACAGAAGGTCACCTGATCCGTGTCGCTCACCGACTGAACATACGGCCCAACATGGCGGCGGAGCGCCGCTCTCTGCCTGCTTGGTGTTTTTTTATTATGATTTACCAGTTTAGATTTCAGGAAGAAGTCATTTGTTGACCGACTACAAAGATCCAGTTTTCTGTCAGCTTTGCTGTTTAAAGCAGAACTGCAGCCTTTTCTACACTCTTGCAAATACATTGTGGTGAAGATTTGTGGGATTTTTTTGTCTTTGTCTGAAAAATGTAGCAAAGAATATTTACCTGTTTTTGTTCAGAATTGTTGAATAAAGAAGATTCTAAGCCAGAAAACCTTGTTTTTATTTTTAATCAACGATGAGCAGCTGCAAAAATCTGAGGTGAGCCATTTTGTTGTAGAGCTGAAACATTCACTTTAAAAGGTTTATTAAGCCTGAGAAACTACCGGTTGTGGTAAATTTGTCTATTTGTGGATGTTTTTTTGTAGAATAAGTCAAATATTCTGAAGAAAAATCAAGACAGATTTGAAGTTAACACATCATAGTAAATATTAAGGTATAGTTAGTGCCTGAACTACTAAAATAGGTTGTTGCAATTGGTTTTATTCCTTTTAATTTACATTTTTTGTATTTGTATTTTTCCCCATTTATTTTTTTTTACTTGAAATCACTTAATATTCCATCTAATTTTAATTGAGCCATATTCATTGACTTTATTTAATATTGAATTTTTTTAAAATTTCAACTTTATTCTCACTTTGATATGACTTTATTCTCTTATTGAGTTTTTTTTAGTAATATTTTTTATTCTCATATCACAACTTTTTGCAATATTATGATTTTATTCTAGTATTAATGTAAATGAAAGAAAAAAAACTAATTTAATATAAAAGTTTGATTTCTTTTTTCTGGCAAATCTTTTACTTCAAGATCAGAAACGTCAGATTGTCAAAATGTTAATTTAGGAGGTAAATTTTTGACTTTTGAAACTGATTTTTTTTCCCCAAATTTATGAGATTAATCTCATAATTTCTGGGTTCTTGGTGGAAATGTTCTCTTTTTTACTTTCTATTTACAATTGCCCTAATTCGCCATCGTATGATAATAAATTTGTCTAGTTGAGCCCAATAAAAGGAAAACTGTCTTTTACTACAGCACACATATATGATTTTATATGATTTGGATTTTCAGTATGGTGCATTTTGTAAAAGCACTATTTTCCTTTCTTTTTTTAGTTTTGGATTGTTATTGCTGTTACTTTCTTGGCCTTTTTGACCCATTTGACTAAAGTTTCCTGTGAGTCAGAGGCGCCTCCTGCTTCCTCCAGCAGGGGCGCCTCGCCGCTCCTCAGTTCCTCTCTGCCCCGCATGTTGCGCTGCTGCCGCTCCCCAGGGGGGGCCGCCTACTTTCAGCCTGGAACAACCTGGAAGCACCAAAGTGCGTCCTGTTCAAACACAGCAGGCTGTTACCTGAGGCAGAGCAGGAAGCTCCATGCGGCCGGCCCGTTCCCTGCCTTCATAACGCAGCAGCCGCCGAGAAGCAGCTGGTTCACCTTACATCCTTTAACCTGAGGCTGTAACCAGGGGCAACCTGGATGGGCACAACATGGGCTCAGATGAAGCTTACAACTTTGTATTTAAAGGTGAGTTTCTGTCTTTTACTTTTCATCCCTGCAGATCCTGAACAGTGGAAGGCTCCGTCATCATTGAACCTCCTGCTCTCTTGGACTGTGTGCTAAATGTTAACAGAACGCCTAATGATTGGAGGAATAAACGGCCAATCATTGATTAGAAGAAGAAAAAAATCATTTCTGCAGACCTTGGTTTTGTCAAATTTGACTTCAGGTGGGGGAGTTGCATCGCTACACTGCAGTGACGTCATCTGCTCAATACTGTCCCTGAATACGTCCTAGTTAAAGTTCTGCTGCACTCAAATTAGTAATGCAAAATAATACGGGATGTGCTGTCCCTTCAGATGCTGACAGAGCTTGTCTAGCTTGTATTTATGCAGAAACGTAAATCACTCTGAACAGGTAGGACATGTAATTCAAGGTCCTGGAGCTCAAAGATGCCCGACTGAAAAAACAACACTGAAAGATAAGTTGGAGTTTTCAACAACTGAATCACTTGTTTTAACTAAATTAATTCTAATTCTAGAAAAACAAGAGTTTTGAGCAGGTGTAAGTGTAAATGTAGTGATTAACTGATCAATAACTCAACGCTGGGAGGTTTATCGGACAATGTCTCTGTCCTTCTGCAGCAGGAATGATTATTCCCAAGTGCAAAACATGTAAAGCAGCTGTCATTCCTATTAGGAGCAGACATCAGGATGAATTCACACACAGAACAACACTCAGGCAAACACCAGCTTCATTTCAGTGTCTACAGGCTTCAGTTTATATGTTAAATGTAAACTTTCATTACAGGACAGTTAGAAAAAGACAAAGGAAGTATGCTTAGTTTGAAGAATAATCATTTAGTGTTACAAAGTTACATCTAATGAGATCCGTGGAGAAGCACCATGTTTGGAGAAAAACAAATGCAGCCCATCAACAGAAACACTTTTATTAACTGTTGAGCACGGCAGGGGAAGTAGGCTTGTTTTAAAATCATCTGTAAACCAAAATATCCTAGAGTCAAATAGCAAATGATGTCATCACCAGTCTCCATCTAAAACCAACCCACAGTTACCGCAGTTCCAAAGGATGGTGTCATAAAAAACAACATTTTTCAGCTTTTTTGGTAATAAGTGGATTCAGGCTTTTTCAACTCAAAGATAGCATTAAAACTAATCAGTTAAATCAGATCATGTCAAGTTGGTATGGAATGCAAACAGCTCAAAACTCAACGTTCTTCAAATAGTTTAATTTTACTCTGTGATTCCAACAAGTAAACAAGTAGTGATATGCAGTACTGATGACAATGATTACGGAATAATTCTTGTTTTTATGAAAAAAGGACAGGAAAAATATGAGCCTCACTGCAACATTTCAGGTTCTTCCAGGTTTCTGCAGGATCACAAACCCGACCGACAAACTGCTCCAAGGTCGCCTGTCCTGCATTTTAATAGAAACCAGCAGGATTGTTTACTTAAGGAGTTACTCAGTAGCAGAAAAAGTGAGGAAAAAAGTTCACTTAAAGCAGAAGATTGTACAATAACTTAAAATCAGTTAAATCAGCTTTGAACAGAAGCCTGTAAAATATTCTTTCACTAAAACTCAGACCTTCCTGGACAAACCACTGATTGAAAAAAAAAAATCTTTTCCATTGATTCTCAAATTCGGTAATATTTTATGTTTTACTGCCTCAAATTTCTACTGTGTATTCTGAAGGCTGCTTTTTTTTATCAACTCTCACTGCTAACTTTCTATTGCAAAGATGAACAATAATTCATATGATTTTCTATCTGAGTTAAGTGAAAATAGAGCAGCTACAGATCCTTGGCAAATGCATGCAAAAACACACAATACAATGACAAATAAAAACCTGTAACGAAAGATTATGTAAACTAAAAACCCGTAAAAGTCCAGATCCACTTCTGTAAATCTAAGCTAAACTTCTGTGCTGAATTACCGCAATAGTTTACATTTAATGGAGCTAAGGCGTAAATTCAAGCTGGGAGACAGAACACAGCTGATCTACAAACAAAGCTGATCCACTTCAAACATGTCACACCCCGCTGCGGCCAATCAAGATCGGTGCCCTTGCGCGTCCCAGCCAATCAACGTCAAGCCGGTCCATTCAAGAAGTCCAGCCTCCGGGGATCTGCCTGCTCGTCAGCTGTGCTTCGCCCACCTCCTCCCCATCTCCACCTTCAGCCCGATGACCATTCTCCAGGCGCCTTACGCGCTCCTCCATCCCAGGCTCTGCTCCATCATCATTATTCGGACGGTGGGGTAAGACTAGTGAGCTTCGCCGGACTCAGCATCTTCCCCCGGCGATCTACGCTCACTAGTCTTCCGCCGGTTCGAGCACCAACGATTTGTTCATTAAAATCTCCTAACTGCTTATTTTTCTCTGCGTGAGTCGACAGATTGAAATGGCAGCTAAACCTCTAAAGTCTAACGACGCAGGCAGATCTTCCTCCCATTTGTTTGGTTGTAAACTCCCAGCAGTTTGCACGTTTGGACTAAATTAGCATCTGGTGCTAATTTAGCCCATCAATAAATTTCCGCTCCAGTTTACAAAGCAACATATTTTTGTTGAAGAATTCCTCTGATTCCTGTGTTTTCCTGCATTACTTGGTTGTTTGTCCATCAGCATGAAAAATTATTGCTATATTGTTGCTATAATAACATGAAACAGGAGAACAGCCTGTTTTTTAACAAGTTTTTATTTATTATAGTCAGTTAATATTGTCTTTCGTCATGTTTCCCAGATTTTATTTGACATTTGTTTAAAAAAAAGTCATTTAATGGATTTATTGAATTTAATATATTTAATTGATATCTTTGGCTGTTAGCTACAGGTGTAGCATTTAGCATCACATTTAGCCAAGATCCAAATTCTAGATATAACACAACATTCCAATTTAAATAGAAAAGAGTAATTATATGACATAAATAAAATTGCAGAAGTATTTACCTTTATAAAGCAATCTAAAATAAACAAAGGGAAAAAGCAGTGGGCACACGGACACCACCAATCGTTTACTCTCTTTTATTTTAAAATGCAAATCCTGAGTAGATGAGATCAGAAATAAGCTTCAGGTTAAATATTGTCCTTCTAATTTTATTCAGTTTGATTATTGACTTTAACACTGTTTAATGATTTTCTGAGCTTTATTTTATCCAAATTCTGGTGAAATATGCATGACAAATAATTTCCCTGAAGGTAAATTCAGTGTTTGCTGGTTCAAAACACAATAAATAAATAACACACCACAAAACCAAGAGTTAGCTATCCTAAGGTAGAAATCCATTTAATTTAAAGCTATCTTTCAGTTTCCCATTTCCTCTTTTTCAGGCGTTTAATATACTTTCTAAACTCATCTTGTTCAAGAAGCATTCAGTTTTCGGAGCTGGGTTTGTCATCATCACCCATCCCCATATTAAGCTCTAACTTTAACACATCTATGTGTTGCTGCCGTCTCCAGTCTGGACCAGTTAAGCCAAGCCTTTAGGATTGTTTTCTTTTTTCTGAATCAGCCTCTTATGACCGATAGCCAAACATTAGTCAGTGCAATGTGCAGAGCCTGTTTACCCTGCAGATAGGTTCCAGCGGCCCAGAGTAAAGGAAGTAGCTGCTGAACTTGTTCCACTGATTCTGACCTGCCTTACCCCCATGCTGACTGTTTGACGAGTCCAGAAATAAAGACTCATTTTGTTTCACATCCTCATCTTTGCCTGATTTTTCCTCAGCCTTCCTGGAGGGATATACAAACTGCATCCTGAGAGCCTGAGGGACAAATGTTTTCCATTCTTGTTGTGAAATTGGTGGCTAGTTTGAAATTATAGCCTGTACAAAAACCTAATTAGTAATCATGTTGCTTTATCTCAGTTTTGCAATATTTCTCTGTGGGCTGAGGTTTAAACAATCACTGTTTCTTAATGGTGCTCTTATGAAAGTGTCAGACAGCTAAGACTCTAGATTTAAGGTGTAATTACATGTGGAGGGTAACACCCAGGTCCAGTAGCTTCAGTCAGAGCTGGTTTAGCTTTGAATTAAAATAAACTCTGTTTGGCTCTTTTCCAGTGGTTCTAATTGGAGAATCTGGTGTTGGAAAGAGCAATCTGTTGTCCCGCTTCACAAAAAACGAGTTCAGCCATGACAGCCGCACAACCATCGGCGTGGAGTTCAGCACCCGGACGGTGCAGCTCAACGGTTTCTCCATCAAGGCCCAGATCTGGGATACGGCCGGCCTGGAACGATACCGGGCCATCACTTCAGCGTGAGTACCACCCAACCCCAATGAGCATGTATTGGCACATGGTGGGCTTTTAAAGGGACCTGATATGCAAATTCACATTTTACATGTTTTATACTTCTATTTGGGTCTCAGCTGCTTCTAAAGATGGCAAAAGTGCTTTCAGGGAAAAAATTGCCTTTTTGTAGCATAAGGTAATTTTCTTAGGTAATTTATGCCATTCCTAAATTCCTCTGTAGGCAACAGATTTTTGGAGGAAGTTTGTCTGAGCACAGTTTACAATTTCTATCCCATAATTATGAATAATCATAAAATAAACATAAATAATTCAGTTTGCATGACTTTGCTTATAAATATGAGTTCATGTTTTTAGTATCTGGAAAATTAACTGTTTCAAAAACGTCCAAAACATTAAGTGGTAATCACAGGCACAGAGCTGTTACCTAGCATCTGACACTGTGCTTTAGCATATTTAGGCCCTGTTGACATGACAATGATCCATTTCTGTTAACACACTTATATGAAGACATTCTAATTACAACCTTTGTTTACACAGTGCACAGATTCCTGATCTAGATTTTTCTTCAAAGTCGGGACAGATACAGATCATCATATCAGATCGGTGCATCTCTAAATATATTAGACTATATTAATAGATCAGTCCAGAACTGTGGTGATGTCGCGATCCAGCAGGATGTTGCATCAGATCTGAGTGATGCTGGTTGGAGTTCAGAAAGTGAATTTCCAAACTGCATTTCTTCAAAATGTGGTTCATGAAAAGCTTGTTTTCTTGCACTGTTGGTAGTTGAGAAACCTTTTGCGTCAGCGTCTTACGCTGATGCAGCTTTGAGCCAAAACACAGGCAGGGACACGCCCTGATCGCCAGAGCAGGAAACCTTTACCTGAAAAACCTCCCAGCCCTCCCCACGGATCAGACTCCAGCTGCTTTCAGCAGAAAACCTCTGGACCCTCCAGGGGTCTCTGTTTCTGAAGGCACCACTGATTCCCTCTTTTTTTAATTAAACTACGAGGATTAACAGAGGAAACTGGTTTTAAACAACAGAGCCTGTCAGAATCAGAGGATGTGCTTCATCGCCGGATTAGCTCTTTTTTGTCAGCCTGGATGTTGCAGTAATTACTCACTGACTCACTCCAGCATGCAAATTCCCATTCCCATGGAATTTCACATTTATCCTGCAACAACCAGCAAAAACCCATTAATCTGGAATTAATTAGGCTGCTGAAAGAAGAGAAGAGAGGAGAATTGTAATTGTAAGGAAATAAATATTTCCCCTTGTTAAGTGTTTCTGAATGAAAGTGATGTATTATTTATTGGTCATTTTCAGGTAAAGGATCAAATAAACATCCCTAATAGTCTCATCTGTTAGAGAAGTGAGGGGGAAAATGTGGCACATTTGAAGCAAGTAATTGCTTAACTAGATACATTTTCTTTTTCAATCGTGTCATTTTACGCATTCTTGTTGATGTTTCTGTGAATAGTAGCAGCTTAAAATAGCCTTTTAGCTGGAGTTGGCCAGGTGAGAAGGTTTTCTTTCAGTAAAGGTCATGAACTCCAGCAGTTCATGACCTTTACTGGGTGTCTTTACAGGTAAACACACCCTGTTGAATGATCTTATGAACTGTTGTGTCTCAAACTTTCTTATTAACCAAACAGTGGCTGACTCATTACAGAAGAGGCTTTCCTTATAGATACCAATAATACCAATAAACAACATAATCAGAAAAATCCAATAATATATTGTCACAATTGATTGTGTCATGATTGGAATAAAATGTTTTTTTTATTGGTCCGATGTACTATTCTTCTCTTAAATTTGTTTTTAACCTTAACAATTACAGCCTCAAAATCCAAAATGGCTGCCGCAGTCATAAAACATGCGAAACTTGCTGTGATTGGTTGATGTCTATGTTCTGCATGTGTTGTTGCGCCGCTTCAGGTTGCTTGGCATTTTAAAGCAAAATCTGCCATTTATGCCTCAACACAGATAAATCAACTATTTACAGGGTTGCAAACACACTGCTTCCTGTTTAGACTGTGACATGCAAATAAGCTCCAACATGTTATGAGCCACACTACAGTGGAAATGATCTGAAAGTAAAAACAGGTCAACTACAACTTCCTCTTTTCTTCTCCAGCTCTGACCTTTGACTTTTAAACCCGGCAGTCGCATTAGGAGGACAGTCTCTAATGCGACTGCCCTCCTCTCAGGTACTACAGGGGAGCAGTCGGAGCCCTGCTGGTCTATGACATCACCAAGCATCTGACCTATGAGAGCGTGGAGCGCTGGCTGAAGGAGCTGTACGACCACGCTGACCCCCACATCGTGGTGATGCTGGTGGGCAACAAGACTGACCTGGAGTCAGAGAGATCCGTTCCCACTGAGGAGGCCAAAGACTTTGCAGGTGGAAACTTGATGATGTCATGACATTCAAAGATCACACGTGAGATTCTGCAGTGTATGACTGAATCTCATAAAATATCCTCTGATGATCTTTTCCTCTAGAAAAGAAAGGCGTTTTGTTCCTGGAAACCTCGGCCTTGCAGTCGACTAACGTGGAAGCGTTCAACAAAGTCCTGGAAGGTGATTTGTCAGTTTTAGTTTCTTTTTTCTCTTTACATACATCAAACTGTCATGTGTCTGAATCACTTACCTTAGTTACTTCTGCTGGAATGATTGTAAAGACTGTTCGGGGCTCTGGAATAGTTGTTAGTCATAATCATCTTACCTGTTGTAGATGATGATCAGAGATGTCTTGCTTTACAGAACAAGATAATTTCTCATATAGAAATCAAACTAACTGTTATTCAGCTCTGTTGTTGTTAAAGCTGCAGTATGTAACTTTTAAAAAACACAATGTTTAATTTTTGTAAATATATTTAAACTTTCTCTATGTTGTGACAGTACAAGACATAATCTGTGAAAAATATCAAGCTGCTCCGCCTTCTCTGAGTGCTCTTTGTGCTGTCAATCATTCCCCTCATTTGGTGCTGCTCATCCCGCTCACTCTATCCATTTTGCTCTCTGCTCCACTGCAGCTAGCATAGCCTGTCATAAACACTTTTTCCACACTGGCAGGTTGTTTCCCATTAGCATATGTAAGAGTACATGAGATGATTGACAGCGCTAAGACCCGCCTCCTGGCTCTGATTGGCTGTTTTGGTCAGAACGACTTGTGAGCAGTGAATTTCTTCAGACAGTAATAACAGCTCAAGAAAAATGTGGAGGAGTTTGATCTTTTCACAGATTACCTAACTATATTCATTAGTTAGCCTCATAACTAATGAATATGTGAAAAAAACAACATATTTTTTATAAAAATTACATCTTGCACATGTGATTGGTCATATTTTTAGGAACAGAAACTTTTTTAGCAAAATTGAGGAACTTATTTTGAATTCAATGCTTCCATCAACATTTTCTAATGCCAAACTTCAAAATTCACATAAAAAATAATTGATGCAAACAGAATTGACAAATTGTTGTAGAAAAAATTAAATGTTCCCATGTGGACAGGGCCCTGATGAGGGGTCGATGGTGATCATGTTTATTGATGAAGTCCTGAAGTTTAATATGGTCTTTATAATTATCTAAATGTTTTCAGTTTCTACAGTTCAAAATTACAGAAAAAAGCTAAATGTCTGACTAGCTGTCAGCCTTCCACTTCCACACTAACAAGTTCTTTAGTTTTCCTCAAACTTTCTGGCATCAAAGTGCTACATGTAAGAAAACGATTACATCACTTTAAAAAACAAAAACTATAACTTTCAGAACAGATTTCCTTTGTTTTAAAACAAAACCTCCCCTAACACTTAATCTAACACAATCACTATTTTCTCAACCAAACAATGAGGAAAATTTGAACCAGTTCAATTGTTTTTTTTCTGAGTTAATTTTCCCGATTCCTGTATGAACATCTCTCTTTTCCCCCAAACTGAAACCAAACTATCTGCTGTGTGCTGTCTGTGACATACTGACTACTCACAGGTGCTCCACAGAATCTCGATTTTAAAAAATAAACTGGCTATGCTTTAAATATTCAAGATATATCATTTTTGACACACAGAGATTCATAAAAAGGTGAGCAGCAAAGAAGTGGTGCGAGGGTCCATAAACGCTGTGACCCTGAAAAGCTCCAGAGCAGAAAGCGAGGAGGAGGAGAAGAAGCCATGCTGCAAGAACATCTGAGCCCAAACGTCCCTCTGGGGCCCACAGGGGCCGCAGGGGGGCCGCCTGCAGCGCCGGGCTCAGGCTGGCCAGAGACTGAGACTCCACATGACAAGGCGAACGGCTCACCGTTCAGCGAAGCGGCTGGTTTCTGAGCTGCACAGGTTTAACACATAAAACCAGCACCAAGCTTTCATCCTGGATCAAAGGTCAACAATGAAACTCTAAACGGACCTTTGAGGTCATCTGTGGTGGGAAGTTGAAGCATTTATAAACATGTGTACAGTTTAAATGAGAGGATATCTGACTGATAAAGAGCTCCCAGCTGCTAGATGATGATGATGATGATGATGATGATGATGATGTGTGTTTTGGGTCCTGACCTCTGTGATAAGAATGTACTGCAGCAGATCACTCTGACTGCAGTTTTGGTGAGAAATAAATATTTATGTAGATTCATTATTGGTGTCTTATAACCAGAAATGTCTTAAATTTTAGAAGAAGAGAGCGACTACAGACGCAAATTTAGTTGGTTCTTTTTTCTGACTCAAGTAAAAAGCAAGTAGAAGTTTGCCAACTTTATGTTGGCTAAACATGACAGCAGGACATTTCCAGGAATCAGTTTAACTGAAAAATGTAACCTGAGCCCCCAAGGTACGTCACAACGTTTATAGGGCAAAAAGATTCAGTATCAGCAACATGATGATAAATAAACAAACTAGGCCTGAAAACTCTGAATGTGAGTTATCCTGAGCTTTCTAGTTCTGATTTCATGGGATTTTCTGCAGTGAAACCTGAGATTAATAAATAACAGATGTGCTGAAATGTTGTTAAGTTTTTCATTGTACTCCAGGTTACATTGGTGACCTATTATTTTTATTTCTGTCGAAAGTAGTCATTTATTTAAGACCTGCCATCAGAGCCGGCGCAGAGTTGAACCCTGATGGTTTTGTGGCCTTAAAAACTAACAGCCGCCTGGCTTGCTTTTGCCTTGGGCTGGCTCTGCCTGATGTTGGCCAATAGTGAACTCTGATGCTTCATCAGCAGCCATTGTTTCTGAACATGTAGATGAGATCATGTAGTTTCTGTTGGATTCCCAAATACCATTTCAAGCTCTACTGACTCAATATTCCAGATATTTGCTAGAAATTAACTAAAGAAGCAAAAAGTATTTAGTATTTATTCTTGAAGAGACAACACATGAAGTGAACAAAGTCAGAATAAAACTTTTAAAAACAAGTGTATGATATGAGTTTTATGAAAGACATTGCAAAAAATAATAAACATGTATTAACAAATAAAGCGGTGATAAAATATGCTAAAATAAAATGGAAATGTGGAGAACAGCTCTGTTGTAGCTGTAGCTGTTGCAATACTATTTGTCTGTTTTGACGTTTAATCTTGATTTAAGAACCATCCTGTTCCTGTTGAACATCAGCCGTAAAACTCCACCTGTTCTGCTCCTGCAGAGCTCAGTTGATGCTCTCCGGACCAACGAGCAGCAGTGACACGTATCACTCAGATCATATGTACGATCCCGCTGGGTGCCAGCTGGGTCTCGCGCTTTCCACGCTCACCTGAGGCTTGTTCCGGTATGGCAGGCAATTATAGTATCTAATAAAAATTATTTTCTCAATCGAACATGACATCGATACCAATCAATCAGGAATGAGCGCTATCTAAGTTAGCGCTGATTTCCAATAAAATAAGGTTTAATATACTTAAGTTGACAAAAAAGTCTGATTTAACCCTTATTTGAAGTGAATGGAGTAAACAGTGTATTAATATTACAACTTTATAACCACATTATACATTGATTTCAAAGATTTAATGGTTTTAAAAAGTAGAATTGGAAATGTATGGAACGATGTAATTAATTAACTTTTTATCACACTTTTTAACATATGGAGAATTGCACATTATGATCAAACAGTTATTCAGTGGTTCATTCTTTTGTTACACATACTTGAGTAGGGTTTTCAATGACTAAACTCCACTTCTGCTTGAGTAAAATTATATTTCAGTGATCCAACATCTTAGTACACTTTTTGTCACTCAACTCACTTTGATAGGAAATAATTAGCCATAACGTTCGTTACGACAAGAATGAAATATTACTTGTAATAAAGACGGCAAGGGAGTGCTAAACAATCTAAATATTCATTTCCGTTTATTTTGTGGATTTACTAATTACTATGTGACAACTTTACTTGCCATACTTTACCTGTTGCTGCGCAATGTCATACAAGTTAACAACTGGCAGCTGACTCACAAGCGACAGCACAGCTGACCAATCACGTCGAGGCAAGTAACAACTGTCAAATCCCCATTGACCACTAAGAGAGCGTGAAGGGCGGGGTTTAGTGTTGACGTTACGTCGCAGGCTCGGTAATGGCAAGTGTAGGAAGGAGAGGAAGACAGCCCTGAAGTTTCTTCTCTTCTGGATGTTATTGTCACTTTATTACATTTAAAACCTGCTGCTTCACTTTCTTGTACTCTTAGGGTTATTTTTCTCCGTCGCTGTGGTGTGAGTGAGAACGGGGCAGGGCTAAAGTACGGAGGATTTTGTCGGTCGTTTTCGAAGTAACTAAAATACGCCCGAAGTTTGTTCGACTTCAAGCAGAGAAACTATGACGCACAAAGAGGACGAATATGATTACCTTTTTAAAGGTGAGTGGTCGTTTCTTCGCTTTTAGCTAGCTGGCTAAATGTCAGTTTCACCTGTGTCATCTGATGCCACCGCGGAGATGTCGTGTCGTAAACCGGTTCGCCTGACAGCCAGAGGCTGGGACACCTGTTAAAGCCTCAACGCTTTACGTCATTAAATAAAACCAGCGGGTCCTCGGGTCATGCAAGGCAGATCCTGGGACTCTAACGTGTCTCTTTAGGCACCATTTGCTTCAGAGTTTATCATCTTCCAGGGCGATGACGTAGTCACCTGGGGATGCGGTGTTGTTCAGTGAGGGGTCACAGTCACATGACCCGAGCTTCTCTCAGGGGGGGGGCAAGTTTGTTTCGTAGTAAAAGTTTAAAAGTTGTACCATTTGACTTTAAACAGTAAAAAAAAAATCAAATAAAAAGTACCATCCTGTTTGATTGATTTTGCTGAATTCCTGGATGTATGAATTGACTGACAGACAAATTCACATCCAGGCTGCAAAACATGTTATAATTTTAGCTTTCTAGGATTTATTTTATAATAATCTTTTTAGCTCAGGATCGCAATCCTTTAAAACTTAAACTAATACAAAAATACAGCTTTGATTTGATTTGAATAGGATATGATTAAAGGAATGCTTTGAATTCCAATACTTGATTTTAAATGCTTATTGTATTTATCACACTATTTCATAGTATAATAATGGTTTTAAAGAATATAAAAACAAAAAAGTACATGTTTTTTGTTGTTGTTGTTTCTGGTGATTTTAATTTGTCATGTTTAAGCAATAATCCACCAGGTAATTCAGCCTAATCTGCTGAGTCGTTGCCTCACCTGATGTGAGGGTGCAGTACCTGGGGAGGCGCCGCCATCGTTGCAGCCATGGTAGAAGCAGTTACAGCTCCTCAATGCCACTTGGAGATGATTCGCTTGCAGCCTTTTGTCAAAATGTTGAGCAGGTCGTCAAACTGGAAATACCTGCATGCAGGTGAGCGTCCACAGAGACGCTCCGGCTCGAAGCAGAGAAGCGATTCAATCAGGTTTTCATGTGACCAAAGTAATCTGGACCTCTACCTGTGGTACAGGGATCCTGATAAGCAAACGGCTGCAGTTCACAGTTTTGCTTGAATCTAGAAAGCGCTCACATTGTTGCCCTTGTTCTCCTTTTGTGAGTCAAGCAGGGTGAGCTCTTACTGAGTCACTAAGGCATCTCGAACGTTAGCCGTCCTGCTCAACCTCTTTTACTGCTTTTCAGAGGCTGGGGGATATAAACTTCTCCTCTTAAATCGAACACGTAATGACTATCCTTCTTTCTTTCCATATTTGTGCTATCAGGGGATTTCAGACGGTCCATTAATCTCAGTGAGCAGACAGACTCGCTTTCATTCAGCCGGGCTGCAGAATTGTATTAACTGACAAAGGCCTGTCTTTCAGCTTAAAAAAAAAGAAACGATCTCAACAATAGGTGTGTGGCTGGGTGTGTAACAGAGCTATGACTCTACCAGTCTGGTGGTATTGGACCGAGGAACAGTTGTGTAATGATTTTTTCTCTTCCACCCACAGTCCTTTGTGAGAGATGAAACAGAACATTATGGTTTTACTGTCATCATATGACTCCCACATAAACTAAACTAAAGTTGCTCAGTAATGAACAAGCAGCTCCACTCAGACCGAAGCAGAAACATGGTGGACAGTTGGTTCAACGTTCCCAAACCAACTTCCTGTTTCCCAACTGCAGGGTGATGGGTCCTCAGACATACTGACTCACCTTACTGCTGTGGAAATAGCTGTCTTTAATATTGCCTGCAGGATTTCCCTCAGTGTATCATGAGCCTGGCGGGCCACCAGGCTTTGCTTTCCCCACCAGGCTGAGCATAGTTTATTTGTAATAGATTTTTTTATTATCTGCATAAGCACTTTCTCTTTACTGAACTACACACTGATAACTCAAGTGAATAAAGTGACAAGTCACAGATAAAGGATCAACACATTTGGACTTGTTAATTTAGATGAAATAACTGAAGTTCAAAAAATATGTTTTTCAAATTTTATAGTTGGTGTTTAGGTATTGTTAATTGTCTTCCAATAAAACATAATAACTTAGTGATATATTTAAATTTCCAGTCAACTAAACATTGTTGAACTGAAAAACACATCAGGTCGCTGGATAATTGCCTGACGCCTCCTTCCACGGGCTTCGCAGGTTTTCTGGGGGAAACATTGGCCTGATTCAGTTTACTGTCAAATATCCAGGATGGATATTGACGCCTCACAGCAACACGATGAGACGAAACAAAACTGGCTCTGTGATTTATTATTTAATTGGACAATATTTATCAATATGCTAAAGATTCTCCATATCTGTTTTATATTTTAATTCTCTTCTGGTTTCCTTCCTTCTCCTGTACTATAGTCTATTACAGAGTAACTGTTTATAATAAGCTGTGAAAACTAATCAGGCAACTAAATATCCTTGGTCACTCAACTATTAGTAAATATTTCACTATCGTTATTATTTAAATTCAACCCAGAATGTTTATGAAACATATTAATGCTATAAATCTATTAACAAGCAGCTAAAATACATAGATTTAAAAGCACCATCGTTCAGTCACATGGCTCAAATAAACAAATATGGATATTACATTTTTTTATTGTGTGGTTTTTATATTTATCACAATCCAGATCAGAGTAAAAACGTAGACTCTGAGATGGGATCTGTTTAATTCAAGCCTTATGAACCAATAAAATGAACAATAAAATATTGGTTTTTGGAAAATGTCATAATTTAAACACTGAACTTACATAACATTAACAGGACTTCATGGATTAAAAATGAGATTTTCTCATCCAGTGATATTTTGATGATAATGTATAAATCTTCATTACTCTTATAAAGTGTAATGTGATGGAGAAGGGATGCAAATGTCTAATGAGAAAAAGCATAAATTTATTATTTTATTGACATTTTGTTTCTAAATTAAATTATTTACATATTGTTTTAGCTCTATGCATAATTATATTTTCACCTTTGTCATTTTGATTTATAATTCTGAGTATTTTTAGCGTAACTTTAAATGTTTTAATTCTGGTGATTAATCCAGAATCTATCATTTATCAGAATTATTTATTCATGAAATAATTAGATGTTTCAGGTCACACATGTTCTGCCGTTTGTGAGGAACATGTGAATCATGTCACACATAAGAACAATTTTAGATCATGAAGGGTTAGAAAAGGTTGATGATTATTATATGAAACATTCTGTTTCTTCCTGCAGTTGTTTAATTAAATTATCTTTAATTTAAATAAAGTTGTGTGAGTCTCAGAGAACTGGGTTATGTTGAGTCCAAGGATTCAACTCTAAAAAGATCAAATTAACTTTTTCTTTAAATGTTCTATTTTTTATAAACTGATAAATTAATAAATTTTCTTAGAAAACATAAAGGTATAATTTAGTTTTTCCCTATGACTGACCCCATTGATGCTCTACCTCTCAAAGTCCATCATGTTGTTGCATGATAAAAACCTAAATGTATAAAAAAACAGCAGCAATTTAACGTTCATAACCTTGTTTATTGTTTGCAGTGTTGCCAGACATGATCACATGATCAGTTTCATTCTTGTTGTTATGGAAAGGAGTTTCCTCCTGAGTTTCTCAACCTCTGAATCTGGTTGTTATTTTTGGTTTTGCTTTTTTCTTTTTCACCTGCAGCATCCAGGAAGCGGAAAAATACAGAACACCGTCCGTTAACGCTTCTGTTTTCCCTGCAGTGGTGCTGATCGGCGATTCAGGCGTAGGAAAGAGTAACCTGCTGTCCCGCTTCACTCGCAACGAGTTCAACCTGGAGAGCAAGAGCACCATCGGGGTGGAGTTCGCCACGCGCAGCATCCAGGTGGAGGGGAAGACCATCAAGGCCCAGATCTGGGACACGGCTGGACAGGAGCGCTACAGAGCCATCACTTCTGCGTGAGTTCCCTCATCCAGTCCACTCTGCTCTCTGCAGACTTCATCTGTCTCTGACATGCAAACAGACACAGAACTGCATGTAAGAAGATGGATGGTGCTGCGTTGTGTTTGTGTGAAACACCAAAAAACAGATGTTCCCATAAAGTACACCGGCAAATTTCCACCCAAAACATCTCAAAAAGTTTCTAGAAAAACAAGGAAATTTCTGAGTTTGAAAAGTCAAAGATTTGCTAGAAAAGTCAGAATATAATACAGAAGCAAGCAGCGTGACAGGAAGTGACCGTGCTTGTGACCCTCTGACCCCAGGTACTACCGTGGTGCCGTGGGAGCGCTCCTGGTCTACGACATCGCCAAGCACCTGACGTACGAAAACGCAGAGCGCTGGCTGAAGGAGCTGCAGGACCACGCAGACAGCAACATCGTCATCATGTTGGTGGGCAACAAGAGCGACCTGCGCCACCTGAGGGCGGTGCCCACCGACGAGGCCAAAGGCTTCGCAGGTTCGCCGCCTCATCAACCTTCTATTGGCTCCTCATTAGCTTAGCCTGATAAGAAGCTCATTAAAACCCGATTAGACTTTATTCTGCCAGCTCATTAGGCTCCATCACCGATACTGAAAATAATAGTATCAGTTTGACCTGGTTCTGTTTGGGCCTCGTCTTCCCTGAAAGCAGCAGTCTGAGTCATCTTTAGAGTTATTTTGAGGAATCAAACTATTCTCACTTCAAAAGCATCAAAGTAAAACATGTTTTAGCAGATTATTGGTGTAACTTGTATAAATCTGTTCTTTTTTAGCTTGTCTGGTTTCTTTGCTGATAAAAGACTCGGCAGAGCTGAATGCCAGAAAGTTAAGGCCCAAATCCTGTTGATTCAGAGCAGCATAAAAAGAATCCTTGAGGATAAAAGAAGCCGTCTCTGAGTCAGACGTGGCTGTTTGTAGAAATGTTTGTTTCTTTCTTTATTCCACTGACCTAATTTATGTCTTGTTTACATAATGATCCCAACCTGGAAGCGTCAATGCAAAGCAGCACTGCCAGTTGGCAGAAACAAACCTCCTGCTTCATTCTGTCTGATTTTATTCAGATTATTTCAAATAAAATGAGGAGTATCTTGATTTTTAACACATTATACCATCCAATCATGATCCACACTAACGATCCAACCAGTTAGTTGCAAAGATGTTGAACTTATACAGATTTCCTAATATTTATGTTTCAGTTTTCAATCCTCCTCCATCTACACCGGCATTTTGTTCTTGTTGATACATGTTAGATCTTTTTTTGGATGGTGATGCTGTGGGCAGGAAAGATATCCAGTAGCAGTCAGCCTCGCAACAAATCTGAAGAGGCCTCTGACTGAAGACTGCTGCTGTGACAGTCTAATGACTGAATACTAACAGCTCAGCATCCGGGCAGCAACACGTCCTGCATGACTCATCAGCTGTTGGCTCGCACTGCTGATCCACCTCATGTTAATAAAGGAAAGCTAAAGTTTTGCATGGCTTTCAACAACTGTTTGTTGTGTTTTTTGGAGAACAAGATGGTTCCCTGTGGGGACAGTAGATCAGAATCTGTGGGTAAATTTAAAGTGAGTATTAATATGTGTGTAACGTACTGTGTTTGTGTTCTCCAGAGAAGAACGGCTTGTCTTTCCTGGAGACGTCTGCGTTAGACTCCTCCAACGTTGAGCTGGCTTTTCAGACAATTCTTACAGGTGAGTTCCACTTCCTGCTCTGAAATCAAACCAAATTTTAACAGTAAAAAACATTCAACATTAAAGGAATCGTCAGAACCGTTTATTAAGCAACGATGAAACATCTCTTAAGCAGTTGCATTATGTAATTTCTCACTTCAGCCACTAGATGGCAGCAAATTCCACTGAATCAGGTCTTGGCCTCCATCCTTCATGTTCATCCTGTTGCAAAACCTCCTGAATCTTCCTTTTAATTAAAAAAAAATAGTAATTTCTGCAGCCAATCAGAGGCTAAATAAAGATTTGTCCATGTTTTCTGACGTAAGCGTCTCTGCACAGACGCCTCAGGAGGTTCAAGGCCACACTGGTGACTTCAAAATCACCTCTGAGTGGCCTGAAGGGGGAATCCAGCCTGAATCAGTCTGCATGTGGCACCTGCTGTTTGTATGCTGCTTCAGCTCCATGTTGGATCCAGCAGTGATTCCGCCACAGGCCACACCACAGACATATCTCTTATTTCTAACTCTCAAAAAAAAACTTCAAACCAACATCAAGTTAGCGCTGCTAATTAGCCCATTAAGGCAGGAAAAGCAGTGCATTTGCAAGCCAGTAAGGCGCAGAGCCGCCACGGCTCATGTAGCGATGTGGAGAGGGTCGTCCTGGTGGCTTATTGTCCGTTCTGTCATGCTGCGATGAGTCATGCTTCTCACAGTTTCCTCGATTCACACCGGACTTTTATTTCAGGACAACTTTGGAGAAGTGTCTGAATGCAGCAGTGAGTCGGTGATAATTTCAGATTCCTGTTGAGTCAACAAACGAATCTCAGTTCAACTAAGCGATGTAAATATGTTAGTTTGAGCTGCACAGCCTTGGAGAACAATTCAAACCAACTAAAGCTGGGTAAACCTAGATGTGTCACAACAACACGGCTTCCTGGATAATAACATTTTCCCAGAAATTGTTGCAATAAATGATCATATTGTTGTTTCGAGACCATTTCCAAGTAATAGAATGGAAATAATAACAATGCAAGAACACGATCTCAAAGATCAATAAAATTTACATTTAACACTGCAGCTGGAAAAAATTTCAAATATTTAAAACAAATAAAATAACAGAAACAACAAATAAAATAAATAATTTAGTCTCTGTAAAGAAAATTGTCTTTCAGAAAAAGGCCAAAGCACAAGACTGAAGACTTTAACACCCAGTTTTTAATAGAGAAAAAAATGAAAATTATTGAGTTTGTTTTAATTCATCATAAAATTAATTGATTTATTTCTTGGTAACAAGCCTACCTGTCAAAATAACAAGTTTTGCTGGGCAATACATTGTCCCAGAAATTATTGCGATAAGTAATATTGTCGTTTTCAGACAATTGTTGACTAATAGTAGCTCAGTTTCTATTACAATGTGCGGAAAACTTTGTGTATATTATACCAATGTTTAAAAAGGACAATTTTGCACATTGTGGTGTTTACATTAGATAAAAATAATCATAATCATTCGTGAATAAGTTTGTTCAAACTATAAATAATTAGAAAACATGCCGCGTCGTCATCCTCAAACTACTTCCTGTCTTCTTCCTGGTTTGCACCAGTAGCAACATCCAGTTGTTGATCATGTGACTCTTGTGATGTAAAAATGATTTTTTTTTGTTGCAGTTTTGTGAAATAATCCACCTCATCCGAGCGCTAATATTTAAAACAATTCTATAATGTTCCGTACTTCATCAAATTCATCAATTTATATTTAAACAAAAACAGGTTTGTGCATAACATTCTGTAACTTAAATTACCCGTATTTGGCTAGCTTAGCCATTTTTCCCTAAGGAAAAAAATCTAATAGAATTTTACAAAAAAAAATTAAGCAGACTAAAATCAACTTTGGAGCATTTTGAAATGATACTAGCATGAAGATGTCATAATAATGGAAGTTCATACGAGTGCTCTCAAGGATAAATAAATTCATTTTCATTTAACACTGAAACTGGAAGACATTTTAAATATCCAAACTAAATAAACCAAAAACAAGTAAAATGGATTATGAAGTCTCTGTAAACAAAGTTGCCCTTCAAAATATATTAATCATTCGGCTCACACAGGGAAAACAGGCAAAGCTGCCTGCTAGGACTTTTGTAGGGGAAAAAGAGTGTAAACTGTACTAACTACTGTGTAAATGATGCCGGCTTTTTAACGAGATTAAAGGGCAGCGGCTCTTCAGCAATTAAGCAAACTGTCTTAATGTGCAGCATTCTGCTCTGGCCTTTTCCATTTAGTCTGACGATGAGACGTCCAGTGGTTGGTTCACAGACAGCCCATTGGTGGGAGTGTTTTAGTTTCTTCTCAGCTCGGTCACCGGCATCGGACGATTTCAGTTTGTTGTTTTGCCGCGTTTAGCTGCTTCTTTTACAACAAACGCAACATATCAGATTAATTGACCAACTGTGAGTGGAAGAAAAATGATACATGCTCAGTGAGTCTGGATAGGGAAAGTGTTAATATATCCATTTCCAATTGCTTTCAGAAATTTACAGTTAAATTTTGGCGTGGACTTTGACTGGACCACCAAAACACATACAAATGCTTTGATCTGAACCATCCAGCACAGTTCAGGTTGGGGTCATCCTTTTGGAATCTTACCTGATTAGCTTTCATGTCACTTTTAAAGAAAATCCTCCCCACAGCATGATGCTGCCTCCACCATGTTTCATGGTGTTAGTTTGGTTTTCTCTCACAGTAGCACATTACTGCTGATGATCCATAAAATGGATTTCTTTGGCATTTCTTCTTGTTATGATTAAATTAAGCCACAATTAAATGCAAACGGAGTGGCGACAGGAAGTGGACTACAACAGAGGGCATTCTGGGTAAAAGGAACCAAGAAGAAATGCACAAGATAAATCCTACATCCATTAACATCTGACTTTAGTTTACATTTGGTGAAGAAGGAAGTTGCGCTCAGTGTCGTCATTAGAGGTTTTTGTGTCGTTTACTTCAGTGGTTCTTGCCGCAGCGCCCCCAGAGGTGAGGAGCGAAACAGGTTTTTCAAATGGTTTGGTTCGTTTGTCACAGTCGAAAGAAATATAACAAAATTTACAATTTGACTTTAATTTGGAGTGTCAGAGAAAAGGGGGTTGAGTACAAATGGATGCAACAGTTTAGAGATTTTTATTTTCAAAATAAAGCAAATTGAGTTGAAGTTTATGTGCTTCTTTCATTAAAACATCAAATTAGGTCTGGACAACAGGGCTGAAAATCTTATCTTGTTTTAACATTTTATATCAATCGATATGAAATAATTGTCTATCGTTAATTGTTTATTAGTTTTAAATATTTGAGATGCTGCGGAACTGGTGACCTGTGGATAAAACTGGTTTCATCCACAGTTTTTTTTTTTTTTCATTTTTACGCAGTTATGACAAGTTACTCAGCAGGTTGTTGCTAGAGTTAGTTGATGCCACCAACCTGACTTACAAGGTTCAACAGCCAAATGCTTTCCTACATCTCCGAATGCTGCGCGGTTCGGGTTCAAAGTTCAGTGAATATTCTATATCATCACTTTCCTTAAATAAAGTGATTTATTTTACTTTTTCAAAAATCATCACACTCCCACCCACTTTTTTTTCTTTTGCTAAAAGATGATTTAGCCAAAAAAAGGTAAAAGTATATTGATTATTGTCAGCTTCCTCATATAATGGTCTTAGTCATTGTGTGAAAATGCGATTTTGGCAACAACTAAAAATTGCTACTTATTTTTTTGTCAAAATTTGGATTTAGGCAAGAAAAGTCACCTTTGGAATAAAATTGCCATTCCATTAGGAAGGTGACAATATAGCATATTCAATGACATGTATTGACTACGGATATTGATGATGAATCTATCGTGATGTGTACTGATTTATTGCTCAGCCTTGCATCAAAGTTGAGGTGAAAAACTAAAAGAAGTCTGTCTGTTTTTGCATTACTCTGTACGTATTTATGTATTTAATGACCTGCTTCGTGTTGAAATGAGGATTCTTCCACATGACGGAGCGTTGCCGGTTCAGGACGGAGGAATCCGTCTGGAGTCTGGAGACAACCGTCCTGATCCCAAAATGTCCCGCTGTCTGTCCCGTCTCTCACCGCCCTCTGTCCTCCGCAGCCATCTACCACATCGTGTCCCAGAGGCAGATGACGGGCCAGGGCAACTCGGACTTCTCTCCGGCCTCCAACGTGGTTCCCATCACGGTGGAGCCCACCCAGAGCTCGTCCAGTAAGGGCGCCTGCTGCCAGAACAACTGAGACCTCGCCACTGACCTCCTCCTTCGTCTCAGCGCAGCGCCGGAGGGACAGACGGAGGCGCTGACGGGTAGAGGGACGTGTCCGCTGGTTTGTGTAGATAGGAAGGATGGACAGGATGTGATGTGGGAGGGTTGGGATTTTATAAGAAGCCGCATCATCACCATGGATTCAGGTTCTGATGTGAAACTGAACATGCTACCAGGCCCTTTTTTCTCCTTCTTCTGCAGTTTCTCTCCTTAAAAGCCGGATTTTGCAGGCTTCCTTTCCGTTTCTCACTCCTGGGAAGGTGGGCTGTAAAAATCCACTCCCAGAAGACTGAAAAGCAGTCCTCTCTCACTGCTGTTTCCCTTCGTTTTCTGCAATATTTAGAAAATTATGTCCTCCTTTATATTTATTAACGCTTGTCTTGTTTGGCCAAAGGGTTTCCCACACTAACTGCTTCACAGAAAAAAGGGATTTTCTCTTATTTTGATTGTTTTCTTTCGTTTAAAACAAGTCTTTCCATGAAGGAATCGGGAGTTTGGCTCCATCCTTCCCTGTCGGTGACAAGCAGCTTCTCTCTCAGTGCTTTTGATCTTTGTTTGGGCGCCTCTCTTACTCTTCACACACTTTGTGCTCCGACGATGAGTCATGCGCCCGCCAGCCTCTGCGCAGCGTTGACTCTAAGTGGGATGGGATGGCTGCGCCCGCCGCCGCTGCTGGATGGGTTAACTGTAGAGCATGTCAGCTCCCATCCTGACCGTTTCACCTTTTCTCCCCTGAAGCCTCGCTGCGCAGCGGCAACGGGGGGAAAGATGTGGTTTAAAATCGCGGACAAGCTGCCCGCTAGCTGGGACGGATGAATGAATGGATGGATGGATGGATTAGGTTTCAGGGGATGAGATAGTGAGGCCACTCAGCCCTGCCCTGCCCCTGTGGTCTCTGATGTACAGTGATGGCTTGTTTTACTGTAAATGAAATCCTCCGCTGCCTGCTCACCTACTCCTCTCTGGCTCTGCTCTCTGCTGTATGTAACTGGAAGACGTCTCTGCCTTCTGGGATCCCCCTGAGGTCTGCCCTCACTTTCACTCGTTTATTTCCTGTCCGATCGGTGGGGGTTGTGTTCGGGAGCCAGGGCCGCGTTTGTTAGCGTCTGATGGTGGAATAGAGGAGGGAGGGAGGGGCTTGATTTAATCCAAGTTAGACACACAGGGTGTTTATTTCCACATCAGCACGAGTCTTAAACTGGGGTGTAGGTCGACATTTTTAAGCCTTTATTTTGTTGTATGTATATTTGGACTGCACATGTATAAATAAATAAATCAGATTTGTTATAGCTCATCTTTTATGTGTCTCCAGTTTTAAAAACAACCAGCTCATTATTGACTATCATACCGTCTAATGTCCAGTGTAATTTAAGATGTTTGCAAAGTGCTGAAGGCTGATATTTTTCCTCTGATTACTGATTATTAAATATTAAGTCATCATCTACAGATCAATCTAGCCATCAAAACTCTCAGGGAAAAAAACACAATCTGCTTAAACTGGAAATCATTTCCTTTTGTTTTATTAGAAACATTTACAATACATTTTGAATCTTGAAAAAATAACAAAGAACCAGAACTAACATGGCGCAGATACAATAATAATTATAATAATCATAATAAAAATGTCCAAAAATGTAATTCACAAAAAAACATGTGCTAAGAAATAAACCTGCAATATTTCCTGCCTTGTGAGGGCATGGCACACTGTAACAGAGTTCAGATATTTTTTTTTTTTTAATTTTTTTTTTTCCCATCCATCAATGATCCTCCCCAGAGGGCCGCAGCGGCGACGCCTCCCTCACTGTCCACAGAGAAACCAGAACCGGACGCGGCTGCTGCCGGCCCCAAACAACTAATGCACTACAACCACTATTAGACCGGTATGAAACACCTACTGTGCTGGAAAAATTGGAAACGCTACCGAAGACAAACTGTCAGACTGCATCGGCCTCTTTGGAAAAGGGCGGAGTTTCACCAGCGAGCGCCATGCCGGTCCCCAACCGTTCACACGCAGCGGGAAAACCGTGCTCTCTGAGTTTGGGACGCATTTGATCCGTTTCGGGCTGAAGAAGTTTCGTCTCTTGTACAAATGGAAGCTATTTTTTTGCAGCGTAACACATTTTCTAAGTGAGAGGTCAGACATTGGTGCGGGGGACTGAAATGGTCTCCGTCTGGCTCCAAACTCCTTCGGCTTTTCTAAAGAGACTCCAACTATGATAATCTACAGCGAAGAAACGGGGCGAACGTGCCGCCGCCCCTTCTCCTGGCTAAGTGACATACAATATACATGCAAACTAGTACGGTAATGAATCTGGAGTGTTTGTGTGTGTGTGTTTGCATTTAGTTACACAGATCTACACAGTGCGCTGGCTCCTCCTCAACTTGCACTTCACCTAATTAACGCATCAGGAAAAGTCGATCAAAAAGGCTTTTTTTTTAAGCCGATCACGCTCCGTTGCCATGGATCGATCAGACTGAGTTGTGGATGTAAGAAATGTGTGAATGAAGGTGTTTACAAGTTGTGTGTGTGTGTGTGTGTGTGTGTGGTGTGTGTGTGTGTGTGTGTGTGGTGTGTGTGTGTGTGTGTGGTGTGTGTGTGTGTGTGTGTGTGTGTGTGTGTGTGTGTGTGTGGCCCTGCTGGGCGAGAGGGTCACAGCTGCCTCATTCACTCCAAGCATTGCAGTTTTTCTTCTTACATTTTGATAAGAAAAAAGCGAGTTTAGATTACAGAGGAAATGAGTAATAATGTTCAGTCAGTAACATGGGGTTGGGAAGGGCGGGGGTTACAGCAAGCAGCACTGCACAAAGAATGCTGATGCAAGAAAAAATAGAGTTGAGGCACAAAATCGATGCTCTGTGACTAAAATATCTCCAAATTCTAAAAATCTATTATTTTCTGTAGTTCTTTCGTTGTTAATGCACTGATGTTGCAGTAGTGCATGTATGAAGTTAAAATTTCAGCTATGGGGAAACTCCTTCCCACCTACTTCATCCACTGTGAAGCACGTGGGCAAAGTGTCCATAACGTTCATAAATAAAACTTCTCCTTTAGTTATTTATTAGTAGAAACTGACTTTCCTGTGTTTAGAAATATATTAACTTCTTGTCATTTTAATTAAAAAACAAATGTCTTGAGGTTACTCATAAATACGTTGCTTCATTTCCATAAATAACATCCAGATACTGACTTTTTTCCTCTGCTTTCTATGAAATAATAACCCATGTTAGCAAAATAGATCTGAAAAACTGTAATATGTTTTTTTATTCATTTTTAAGTTACTTTCTATAAATGCATGTGGAAGAACTCAAATATAGACTACGTCGAAAACCTGTTGCAAATTCCTTCCAAAAAAACTAACTTAAAGCTCACTTGTAAATTGTGAAAAATAAAAAAGGGTGCATTAGTTTATTTTTCCCCCATTTTTTTTTTTTCTTTTTACATTCAAATGCATTGCTTGTTCAATGTGTGACTGACAGGTTGGTAGAATTGCTTAAGTGCATCCATTGAAAAATAAGGATTTCCTATCACTCCTTTAAAAGGGCTTCTACAGAAATGCATAAAGACCTTTTTGATATTAAGAGAAGAAAAACATCTACTTTTTACTATAATAGCAACCTTAATACAATATAGTAAATAATACTAACACAAACATAATGTATCACTGAGTTGTCCCACCCTCTGTTTCTCCGCAGGAAGTCCGTACTCCAGGTGAGCTGGACAAATGAAACTTATATTCTTAGGAGTTAAACTATGTTTCAATCAGTTAAACTACACAGTAAATATATGATTTTAAACTGATGTTCTCTTTAAGGTCTTAAAGCTTTTATACACTTTAGATATCAGGCTGCTGGATCCTTTTATGAGTTTCTTCTTGATAAATCTTACCTATTGTAATAGTTTTGAGTATCATGCAGGTGAACTTAAGAGTAAGTTAAATACAGAATATTTAAAAAACTCGTCATAATGAGTCTGAAGTTTGGATTTGATCTCAATCTGGTTTCAGTTTAGTCAAAAGTCCTCGTTTAGTGGCTCAAACATAACCTGATTTCTGGGCAGTTCTGTCTGCTAGTGGTGTTTAATTTCACTTTTGGGAGTTTTTCAATCTGTAGGATCACTTCTTAGTTCAGTAACTGCAAATAAAAAGGCAGATTTTTATGCTAGATTGGTTAAAACGATGTAATAAGTTAGCTCTCTCTTCTGTTCTTTGGTTAAATCTGACCTTTTCTTTCAAAGTAAAGAAAAAAATAAATCATTGCGGTGCAAAATAAGGATAAAACGACGGCATCATGCCATCAGTCCATCAGAAGCTGTAAACCTTGCCGGACTCTTTAGCAAAATAAAAGTCCTGAATATGATTGATACAAACATGATTAAAATCCCGAACTAACCCTGAAGCTGTTCAACACTTTCAGGTCACTAAAAGACAGAAATGAAGTGGGATTATGCTAATAACGAAGGTCAGTTTCTAAACAGAACATTATTCAAAGAGCTGACTCCCAGTATCCTCCTATTATTGCTTTCCTGATAAATAAAAACTGATTTCTTCTATAGGGGCTAAAAGTTCTTAAATATTTGCCTATTTACTTAAGACTGGATACATCAGTGGCTTCATAAAATTCATTCTTACTGTTTATAGTAGTGTCTGCTTATCTATATTTGGATGACATACTTGGTAAATAATATTTCTTACATGTATGGATCTATCTAATATACTAATATAGTCAAAAGGGTGACAGGGCGCATATAAACATTTTATCTCCTAGCTTGTTTTTTAAATTCATTCTAAAACATCGACGATGACACTTTGAGATTGTTAAAAAATAATGAAAAACTCACTTTAGGCGGGCCTGCGTCTGGCTCTTCCTAGCTGAAACACACAGCATATTTACAACACGGTGCCTTCACACGAAGAACACTCCTTAACTTACAGCGTCTAAACCGGGAGAACCTCCAATAAGACATCTTTGTTAAACCAGTGCAAAACTGAAAAGAGGGGAAAAATGATGAGAGCTCCCAAATTGTCACTACTGAGCACAAGAATCACCAAACCACACAAGAAAAAAAATGATAGGGAATCCTTATGTGCGTGTCTTTCAGATTGTGAGATAGATTTCACCATCAGCGGTCGGTTTGGTATTAATCAGATGCGCGTGTTTTATAAGGTGCTTTATTCTTTTTTTTTTTCTTTAAGTCATGTGTTTTAAAGAGCCTAATGTCCAGAGTCCCCCCTAATCCCCACCCGAGCGGTTTGATTCACATTCTTCTTTTCCAAAAATAACTTCTTTACAAAGTTGGTTATTGGGGAGTGGTACTGTATCAAAAGGCCAAAGTTGCTACCTTGTCAGCCAAAGCAATGGCAATATTCCATAAAAAACATTAAGGCAGAAATAAAACAAACAAAAAAATACTAAGTTCAAAGAGCGGGGGTCGCCCCCGCCTCGTTGTGACGCTGAAAGCTTCGGCCAGACCTCTGTGCAATTCCTCCTTCGCTAAAACTCAGTCCTCCTCACAGATTTCTGGGAACTTTCGATGTCAGTCCGGTGCTCTCGCTGCAACCATGCCAGCGGTCACTTCTCCTTCGCCTTCATTTTGTTTTTCCTTTAGAGAAGGGGCTTTTTGGCCCTGAAGACTGGATTTGTTTTGTTAAAAGGAGACCCCCAAATTATTCAGGCCTGCTGGGTCGCCGGTGCCGACCCACATGTGACAGCAGCTCAACACTCGCTCAAAGACCTGCTGATCAGCAGAGCTGCTCGGTCTGCAGGGGTTTTTTGCTCCTTTTTTTTCTTTCTTTTTTTTTTTTTTTTTTTTTTTGTCTTGAAGTATACTCCTCCCTTACTCCCTCCCATCATTCAACAGCTTTAATCCCCCAGCCCCCCGATCCATTGCTCTAGCCCTCAGAAATCCCCAGGCTGGGGCTAAGGCAGACGCAGCGGTGTGTAATTTGATTCAGCATGAGTGCTGGTTAAATGGGGCGTTTCCTCTGCCTTCCTGTCAATTACAATAGTCTGATTTCATTGTGAAAGTAACGCGGGTTGGGGGCCGGGGCCGTTGGAGGCGAAGGGCCAGTCATGGAATGCCCCTTACAGTAGAAACTGTCCCACAGATGGCACCCAAAGAGGGGATTAACACGGGCCCCCTGTGATATGATCACTAAACGCTTTGCTTTTCATCAACTGGAATAAATATTCCAGGTAACTGGATTATGAATGTCTCTCCTAAACCTCCATTTTATTTCACGGCTGCCAATGCGGCTAGTGTCTTTCTGTGTCCATGTGTGTTTTGGGACAAAAGAGTGCACCCCCTCTCCTTGTCCCCGTTTGGGTAAGAAAAGGAGCAGGGGGGAAAAGGAGGGGTTTCCTATTCGCCCAGCTCCCTTCAGTGGTCCGGGGTCCAGAGTCCCCGCACGGTCCGCACCTGGACCGACCCATTTGCCTAATTATCAATGAGCGAATCCAGGCCGTGTCCGAGCGCTCCGTGGCCCACGCCGGCCGCCACCGAAGGCGCAGACAATACGGCTCAAAAGCAAACGGTCCAACTGTAAGCCAGCAGCACCGGTGGAGGGAGGCATGAAAGCCACTCCCAGAGAAAAGAGAGAAAGAAAGGGGCTAGGCGAGACCTCCAAACTCAGGGTCAGATCCGCAGCGCGCCGCCAAACACCTGCTCCTGTACAGCTCTGCTAATTACAGGGGGGGACGGAAGGCCCCTCGCAGGAGAAAGGATTACCAGCCCTGGACTCTGTGTTTACAGTATCTGCTCCTTTAATCTGCTGCTGCTGCTGCTGATTCAGGAGACGTTTCATTCAGCTTCCGTCCAATCTTAAGGTTCTCCGAGGACACGAGAGGGGGGCTCCCGCCTCGTCCTCCATTGTTAGCCGGACGCGGCCAAACGACCGCACGACACAATAAAAGCGTGGTTAAGGTGGCTTTGAGACAAGTCCTTGGGGAATATCAAAAAGGGGCCAACTGGATGGATTCCAAGGCTTTTTGGCCTCGCAAATTAAATCAGCGCTTTAAGCCAACCGAGGAGCCACATGCTTTTCAAGAGCCACAAGCAGCAAAGCATCACCGAGTCTTTTCAACACACTGCAGTGACCAGAGCGTCACCAACGGCTAGCGGACGGAGAATCCCCACCTTTACAGCAACCCTCATCCTCTCTGAATAATATCCATAAAATTCAAGCAGTTTCTATAAATAATTAAAATCCTATCCCTTTTAAATCTGTTTTTTAATGAAATAAAGATTTGCTTCATCTCTTTCTGTATGGATCCTGACTGGAACGAACCCATACGCTTTTATCCTTTAGCCAAAATACTTTGGACCAATTATCCGAACCCACAATCACAGTTTAACTGAAAACGTCGAGTTTAACTTCACATCTGCTGCTTTTGAATTTCTCTAGGTACGATTTTAACAATCCTGTTTTAGACCAAGATGATTGTAAGGTGCAATAAGTTATTTTTTTATTCCTTCTAGTAACAACTTTGACTTTGTAGGTCAGTCAAGTGCAGATTGGGTTCCTCATCAATCATCTGTTTCCTTCAGTAAAACCCACTTTAAGGTAAAAAAAAAAAAAAAATAATCGAAGAATAAAATGTTCACATTACTGTCTACCTCTGCCTACACTGAGATTCATGAATGAAAAACAGCAGCAGTCAAAAAACTGAAAATGCAAGGTACTATACTTCTCTTATAAACAAAACTTTTATAAAATATATATGCATATATATATAAAAAGAAAAACTTAAAAATATTTCTTATACTTTTTAGTAAAGCAAGCAGGCCTTCTAAAATATCTGCTTGATTGTTTTTAAATTTTCTGAAAAACAAAAACGTATATAATAATAATGATAATAATAATAGTAATCATAAGAACAGTAAATAATTATTGAAGAAACACTGAGGAAACTAAGGATAAAACGGACGTGGTTCTTTAGGAGAATATCCGGATGGCCTGAGTGACCTGGGTGTGGCACACCGGGCACTCCGGGTGGTTCAGCTCACAGATTCGGATGGCGCACTCCATGCAGAACAGGTTGTGGCCACAGGGCACCAAGGCAGCCGTCACTTTGCTCTCGAAGCAGGTCATGCAGTCCCGCACGGTGGCCGGCGGAGAGTCCGGCACCGGCAGGCGGCCCGGGAAGCCGTCCCCGGCCGAGGCGGGCTCGCTGTGGGCGCGGCGAGCCTGGGCGTGAGGCGAGCCGGACACGATGCTGGTGACTGAGTTGTTGGGGGTCCCGCCTCCGCAGGGCTCCGGTAACCCAGGAGAGAGTCTGGTCAGGGGCAGCGGGAGGCCACCGAAGCTTTTGGAGCGCTGCTGGGTGTAAAAGGACACCTGTTTGGGGTAGTCAGGGTCCCCCCAGCCCTGGGTGCCCTCAGATCCAAAATACGAGCAAGGTTTCTCTCCGGAGCTGGAGAAGTTGCTCTTGTTGTAGATCCCCCCTCCCTCTCCTCCTCCTCCTCCGCTCCCGCCTCCAACCATGGCATCTGAGAAGTTCTGGCGGTAGCTGCTGGTGAGAGGCTTGCGCTGGCCCCCCTGCAGCCCCCACACCTGCTGTAGCCGGCTCTCCAGACCGCCGGTGCTGCCCGCCGGGCTACTTCCACCGTTGGGCCCCAGACAGTCGTTCTCGTTGTTGTGGTCATGCAGGCCTCCTGTTCGGAAGGCGATGTGCGCTTCGATCTCCTCGCGGGCGCGCTCAGCGTTGCTCGGGGAACCCGTGATCTCGAAGACGGGGTCACGGTCTCGGCTCGGGGTCACGATGTACGTGCAGGTCTGCTGCTGGATGCGCTTAATGGTGGAGCCCTTAGGCCCCACTACCAGCCCCACAACGCGGTATGGCACTCTCACCTGAATGGTGGTCTGACCCGGCAGAGGCGTGGGCGGGGAGCCGCTGAAGGACACCCCCAGCTTGTTGCGGGAGGCGCGGAGCATGGAGAAGTGCTCTGCAGCAGAGATGATTTCACGGCGGGCCAGTGCAACGTCTTCCTTCCGGCCGGTGATTAAAAACACAGGCTCCTCTCCTCGAACGGGGGTCTTGATGTAGGTGTTGGTCTTGGCTCGCAGAGCTTTTATTTTGCAACCTGAAAAGACATTTCAGAGATTTTTAAGCAAGCCAACAAGACTTTCCTGATAATTATGTTAAAGGATAACTGGTGGAAATCCATCTAATTTAGTTGTGTTGCTCCTGTTGACTGCTTCCACTTATTAATGTTTCACCAGCAAACGATATTCAGACTAATTACCATGATTTATGAGGTCTCTGGCTCCACAGTATTGTTGCTCTGAATTACAGCTCACCAAGGAGAACATGGAGAAGCGTCAATCTGCACAAACGTGGCGGATTTGGTGAACTTCACACTTTAGCTACATTGCTGACCTCTCCTTGAACCTGCGACGCTGTCAACCCACAGCCACGTCGTTTCTGTCTCCACATCTGCCTGTTTTCGATCCTTGTTTATGAGCTTACCCTATGAAGTGCTTTTAAGACAGCATCCTGATCTGAGTGAGCGCAGGGCAATGTTCTTTCATTAGAATCCCTGACCTTGTGGGAGGACAGAGCAGGACATGCGTCGTTTCTGGATGGATTGCCAGGTCAAGAAACGTCAGCAGTCCTGCGCGTGTTCGCTCCTCGTTAAGGTGGGCTCCCGTGTTCACTGTAACATGCTTCAAGGAGGCCGGTCCAACTCTCTGGCTAACCCGGTAAAATCATCGCTAACCGGCGAAACGTCTACTTTCTAACGCCGCCACACAGACCCACTTCGCTCAGGAACAGTCACTTTCCGGGAAGCGGCAGTACGGAGCGAGGGATGGTGGTGATACTCAGAGGGGTTAGAGCAACTCGTGCCCCAATTCTGAAAATGCCCTCTAAGGCCACAGCACAGCATTAGGCTAATAAACCCGCTCATGACACAGGGGCTTAAGGAACTATTCAATTCCCTTTCCCAAACTACATCCTAAATTTGAACAAGTACACATTAGTCTCTTAATTAAAGGATTATCAATAAATAAAACAGGCAAGGATGAATTAATCAAGAGCAGAATTAAGGTCACAGGAGACAGATTCACACTCATTCTGCTAAACTGTAGTGAACAAGGTGATTCAAAACAAAGCCATGCTTCATCAGAGGAGAGGAGGCTGCAAGAGCATCGGCTGACAGGAGAGAAAAATAATCATCCCTTCATGACAGGAAGCTCCAGCTTTACCCAGACAGAGTAGGGGGGTGTGACCATAGAGCCAACCAAAGCAAAGCAGGCTCACCTCAGTTCCCTCCAAATTAGACGTAAACCACCCCAATCGCTGGTCCTCTCTGTCCGTCAACAGTTATCCCATTAAAATCCAAAACCAACACTTCAGAGTGGAGAGTGGGAGTCGCAGAGGGAAACAAGGGGCACTCAGCAGCACCGAATCCACAAAATGTAATGCAGCGGGGGTTGGGCAGTCTGCAAAAGCAGCTCCTCTGGAACCCTGATGGTTACGGACGTCTGGTTTGAGGTAAAGCTGGATTTTACCTACGGAACCTCACCCACCCTGCAGTCTTTGTGCCTGCTCAGAGCCCAGCCCCCCTCTGGCTCCCCAGCCTGACAGACAGCCATGTGGCTTGGAGGGTGTGCACCCAAACGGGGCTCCAAGGCACCGCCAGACCATTCAGCTTCCACTTCCTCTGCCCATCAGGGCAGCACCCCCTCCAATCAATACAGAAAACACTCCCCTGCCCATTCTTCAGGCTTGTCTGCAGAAACTTCTGCAAAAAATACTGATGCAACTTCTGGCTGGGTTCCCCAAATCAATGCCCCCCCTCCTCCTGTTAGATCGCACCCCACCCCAGACACACACCTTTGACAGCTGTCGTCACTCATCTTCCACTCTTTGTTCAGCAGGAAAAGAAAAACAGGAAAATTTTATCTCAACCTGCTTTTGGGATCTAAACTTTCCAACTGTCTGATGTGAAGAGCAAAGAAACAACAACAAGGTGACCACGCTTCCTTTGTCCAATTGTGTCACTGGGCCAGTGCGCAACGTAAACAACAAGCTGGGCAATAAAAACGAGGGGGTTGAAACATCCAGCACTTTTTAAGGCCAGATGACTAATATTTGGTGATGTTGTTGGGTTGAGACTAAAAGACGCCCCCCTCCTCGCCAGTTGCATGTTTTTTTCTTTTTTTTTTTTTTTTTTTTGAACAGTCTGGCGCGTCTCAGACGACAAAGGAAGCAGCGCTCTCCTGCTCCACAGCGCGTGTCTGCGCGCTGACATTGATGGCGTGGATGTGGAATCATTCGCCCAGGAGGGAAGGGAGCTTTCTCCCAGTGTTTCCCACCCTCTCCGCCCCCTTCCCTCTGCGCAAATGCGCTCAAAAAGAGCGAGAAATGAGCGCAAAACGGGCGAGCGGATGGTTTCTGTGGAAAGATGAGAACTTGAAACATTTGAAGCGGAAAAAGAAAAAGTGGGAGGCTGATGCCTCTGAGGAGTAGCTATAAAAAAGGAGCCCACACCACTCCCTTTTCTTTGTCAAATAACACCAGGTAACAGTTGGAGAACAACAAGCGAGCGCTCAGGGAGGCATGCAGCCTGTCTGAGGGGGAGAAAAGCAGGAAGTTTGTAGGGAAATAACGAGCGGGCTGCGGTTTACCTTGCCTCCCCACTATCTCGGCCACATGTTCGGAGCTGGGCACCGGGACGCATTCTGTTATGTTGCAGCCTCGTCCTTTAGTCTCTGCTGAGGAGCTGTCGTACAGGGCGCACAACTTGCTCTTCCCCTGCAGGATGGCCGCGTCCCCGCCGCCCCCGACGCTGTTGGCGTGGTTGTGGTGGTGGTTGTTGTTGTTATTGTTGCTCCGGTCCTGCACTCCTGTTGTCGGGGCTCCGCCGCCGCCGTCCTCGCCTTCTCCGAGCCCCAGCAGCGACAACTGGCCGAGCGCGACCCTGAGGGCGCGGGAGTCGTCCTCCTCCTCGTCGGGCGCCACGAGGAGACCTTCGCCGCCGAAGCCGGAGCCGGCCAGATCCCCGCCGTAGCCCCCATTTTTCTCCATGATCCCTGCTAGAACCAGCAGGCTAGGCATGGCTAACAAAAGAGTGTGTGAGACAAAGACAGGGGAAAGAGACTGGAGAAACAGCACCGTGCCGCCTCCTCCTCCTCCTCCTCCTTACCCCTCCTCCTTCCCTCTTTGCGCTAGTCCCTCCCACAGACCGCCCCCCATCTCTCTCCATCCGCCAGACTCTCGGTACAGTACGGAGCTCCGGCCGTCTGCTCGGTGGATGGGTCGGCCCGATGCGTTGCTCCACCCAGTCTGGTTTTACACCGACCCCCCCTCCTCCTCTCCTCTCCTCCCTCCGTCCTCAGTGAGACAAAAAACGAGCCTCCCTCCCTCCCTCCGTACAATTCCGTCTCAGGTTCGCCAGCATGTGGCGGCCCACATCCAGCCCATCTCCTGTGCAGGAAGGAGGAAGCGTTCAGCTCGCCTCCTGCGCCGCATGCAGGCGCAGAAACGCAGCCGCGCTGCGGAGCTGCGGCAGCGCAGCGAGCTGCATATTTATATTTTTGGTGACTTATGTAAGAAGAAGAAGCCATCCGGGATGTAAACAGTCACTTAAAGGTTGCAAGAGCAAGCGCGCACATGGTCATCTGCTGGAGAAAAAGATGATGTCAACTCCACGATGATGATGAAGATGATGATGGTGGTGGGGTGGAAATCAGCAGCAGCTTCCGCGCGCACACAGGGAAGAGTGGGGATTTAGGAGTGAGGAGTTAGTGGCGATTTTATAGAGAAAGAAAAAGCAGAATGAGGTTGGAGGGATGAGGGGGGGGGGGGGGGTCCGCCCACCTCTGTGTGCTTTGCGGCAGGTCACCGCGCTGCGCATCAGGATGTTATGTATAGGCGGCAGAGCGGGTGTCTGGGCCGGGGGGCGGGGGCGTGGGGGGCTGTGCGTGAAGAGAAAGGGAGTTGTCAGACAGGCGTTGCAGACCTTATGCGGTGGGGGGGTGGATGTGGATGTGGTGGGTGGAGTGGGGCATCAGTAAAAGCCCTCACACATTTCCCGTTTGGAAAAAAAAAAAAAAAGGTTTTGCAGCAGCTC